GTCCTTGGAGAGGGACATCATGTTTGGGAGAGTGGAAGGACGGTGAAGGAGAGGAAGACCCTCGAAATACTTGAGGATATTGAACATGAGAGTCAGGAAAAACAAGACAGTATAAGAAACAGAAACGGATGCCCAGTTGTGGTTATGTGCCTGCATTCAATAGACCACTGGGCAAGGGCCCAAATGCCAGATGCATTAGGCTGTCCTTGATAACTCAGGTTAATGAAGCTGTCCTTTCATGTAAGAAAATTTGCAATATTCAATATTTATTTCAGGTGTGTCCAGTTTAACTTGGGAAAATTTGTTAATGTAGTGATGGATTAAAATTTCAGTTTCACTTTTGAAAACTTATGACAAATCTTACTTTTGGACAACATTTTATGTAAAATGAGGCTCTTGTGGCTTTGTGGTAAATTACCCAAAGGCAGGGGTGTGAGTCCTCCAGCTGCTCCCCAGAAGAAAGATGGGCAATCTCCTCCCTTGCAACCAGCTGCCTCTGAAAACCTGCTGGAGGGTCAGCTGTGAGTTGGCTGCAACTTGATGGTACACAACAACAACCACCTAGGAGAACAGTTTTATCATAAATACTGCTTTATTTAAATGAGGAGCTCTGTGCCATAGCAGTTAAGAAGCTGTGCTGCAATTCTAAAAGCATGTAGTTAAAAAAAAAGGCATGTAGTTCTAGTCCACCAGGTGCTCCATGGGAGACGGTTGGGCAGTCTCCTCCCGTGTCATTAATTGCCTCTGAAACCCCACTGAAAGGTCAGTTATGGGTTGGCTCCAACTGAACGATATTCAACAACCCTATGTGCCCAAATTCTCTGGTAGCCTAATGGTAAGAAGCTGTGTTGCAATACTAAAGGTAGGCAGTTTGAATCCACCAGCAGCTCTATAGGAGAAGGATGGGCAATCTCCTCACTTGCGATTTACTAACAATTAACAACTATGGGCCAAGCGTTAGTAAGTACTGTTGTTGTGGGTTCTCCAGAGGAGCAGCTGGTGGCCTCGAACTGTGTGTCTCTGCGATTGCAGCACAGCTTCTTGCCACCAAGCCACCGGAGCTCCCTGGACTAGGTAGCAGAGGGTAATTTACCTTCTATTTTGTAAATGTTTGTCATTTGCAACCAACAGGTTCCTAATGAAGGCACTGGGACTCAGAAGAGAAGAAAATGCATGTCTAAGAGGAAACGCTATTATGATTATGATAGATGAAGCAAGTAGTTCATCATTGTTCCGTCCATACACTGAGGTATGGAAGAAATGGCCATGCCCTGCTTGCCTGGGACGCATTCCTCCTCCAGGACGGACTGTGCAGTCACTGTCCATTACCTTGGGGTGATGCGTGCCAGTCCTGTTCAGACAACAGCGGCCTTCCATAAACATTCCCCTGGCTACGTTCACTTGCGTAAGTGGGGTCGACTGAAATGAGAAGGCAAGAAAGAGACAGTATCAATTATTACTATGATTCTAAATATTGCTCCTGATGGCTACGAAGATTCAGATTGTGTTCTGAGTGGAACAATTTTTAAGAACTTGAATAGAAAATAAGTACACAACTCCCCAAACACTGGTGTTAAGCAGCACTGTTAGGTGCCATCAAGTCAACTGTGACTCACAGTGACACTATGAAGAACAGATCTGAACCTAACCCTATCCTGTGTCATCTTCACCATTTCTGACAGGTTTAACCCACTCTCTACAGTCACTGTGTTGATCCATCTCATTGAGGATATGCCTCTCCTTTGCTGACCCCTCCACTTTTCCAAATATGATGTCCTTTTCCAAGGAGTGGCCATGCCTAACATTTTGGAAGAGCAATGATGTCAGTCTAGAGATTAAGGTGTGCCTGATCCAGGCCAGGCTATGCATCAGAGAACTGGAAAATGACTAAGGATGACAAAAGAAGAATTGATGCCTTTGAGTTGTGGTGCTGAAGGAGAATATTGGACATAAATACCAAGGACTGCCAAGAGAACAAACAGAGGGTAATCTTCAGCAGGATCTTGCTTGCATGTGATATTAATGATAGCGTTCAATAATTTCCACAATCTGTTGGGTCACCTTTTTTTTTTGGCATCGGAATAAATACAGGTAGTTGTACTTGAGATTTCTTGGCACAACTTGGTGAGCACATCCATGGTAGCATCTGTTTGCAGAAATAGATCAACTGGTATTCCATCAATTCCTGGGGACTTTTTTTGACAATTCCTTCAAAACAGCTTGAACTTCTTCCTTCATTATCAAAGGTTCTCGATCATATGTTGTTTCATGAAATTCTTCTGTGTCAGCCAATATAATTACAGGCATACAAAAGCAGGGGAAAAAATTCTCTAAATAATGCTTTGTAGGGGAGCTCTGGTGGCCTAGTGGCAAGAAGCTGCACTGCAATCCCAGAGGAACACGGTTCGAATCCACCAGATGCTCTGCCGGAGAAGGAGGCGCAATATCCTCCTGTACCAGTCAGATCTGATTTGACGGTACACGCACACAAAATAATAAAAAATAATAAAAAAATAAATAATGCTTTGTTTTACTACAAAAATGAATTCTACCAAACTCTTATCAGACTCCATTATTTTTTTAAATTATTATCTTTTTCATTGTTGAACATTTTCTTCCCTCTCTTTTCCTCCTCCTTCCCGAACTCACCCCTTGTTACAGATTGCTATCATACATATAATGCCTAATCATATATTCCTTACAGACTGTTCTTTCCCTCATCTGTTCTAATAGTGTTTATTATCTATCCACTCTTTTCACATTCTCTCCCAAAACCGCTCCACATGTTTGTCCTATTTTATAACAGCAATGGTTCGTGCTTCTGTTACTGAGATATTTCACTCAGCATAACGTTTTCCAGGCTCACTCATGTTGTATATTTTTTTACGAGTTGTTTTTCGGTGCTGTATAGTATTCCATTGTATGAATGTACAATAGTTTTTCTACCTATTAATTTGTTGATGGACACTTGAGTTGCTTCTATATCATTGATATTGTGACTAACACAGCAATAAACATGGGTGTGCATACATCTTTTTGAGTCGTGGCTCTGGTTTCTTTAGGGTATATTTCCAGTAGGAATTGCTGGGTCAAATGATATTCCTATTTTCAATTTTTGGAAAAAATGCCAGACTGTTTGTATAGTGGCTGTACCATTTTACATTCCCACCAGCAGTAAATAAGAGTTCTAGTCTCTCTACAACCATTTGTTGTCTGCTGCCCTGTTGAACTTTGTTATTATTGCTGGGCTTGTTTATTTTTTTTAATAGGTAATTTACAACCCTTTAATGGTCTAAAACTCAGAGTGGGAAAATTACTTTTTAGGTGATTACAAAATTCCCTTCCAATTTTAACATTTTATGATGACACAGTCATGAAATTGAAACACAGCATAATTTTCTTTTTTTTTAAAGTCAGACTTACTATTATGGCTTGAGGCAGGCACACCTTAGTCTTTAAAGTAACATTTTTGCTCGTTAGCACTTTAAAGAGGTCCTTGGATTGCCAGTTCAACTCTTTATCCACTAGGCCACCAGAGCTCCCTGAAACAGGTCTTTGACAGCAGATTTGCCTAGTGCAAGCTGTCATTTGATTTTTTTTTTGTCATTTGATTTCTTGACTGCGGCATCCATGGATGTTGATTCGGAATCCATGTCCAGCTGACATCCACTCACAACAACCCCGTGGACAACTCAATGAAAGCCTGCCTGACCCTGTGCTATCCTTACCATCTCTACTGAACTTAAACCCAATGCTGCTGCCACTGTGTCAATCCATTTCATTGACGGCCTTCCTCCCTTTCAATGACTCTACTTTTCCAAGCATAATCTTCTTCTCCAGGGACTACCCCCCCCCCTAACATGTTCAAAGTATGTGAGATGAAGTCTCACTATCCTTGTTTCTAAGGAACGTTCTGGCTACATTTCTTGGTTGTTTTTTTTGTGTGTTTTGTTTTGACAGCCCATAGTATGTATATTCAATACATTTTGCCAACCATAATTCAAAGGCCTTAATTTCAGAAGCATTTTGAAGCCACTGAAAATGCCTTTTTGTTAGCCGCCATGAATCAGACAACACTTTGGGGGTTTTTTCCTTCTTTTTTTTCTTGTTGTGTGCTGTTGAATAGGATCTGACTGATACAGGAGGAAATTGCCCCTCCCTCTCCAGCAGAACATCTGGTGGATTAGAACTGTGCACCTTCAGGATTGCAGTACAGCTTCTTGCCACTAGCCCACAAGAGCATCCTTCATACCTTAGGTTTTAAACTGACATCCTTGGCCTTTAATTTTAAAAGAAATCCTTGACAGCAGATTTACTCAATTCATCACCTGATTGCTTCTTCCTTGGGTATTGATTGTGGATCCAAGTAAAATGAAATAATTGACAACTTCAGTCAGACTTGTCTCCATTAATCATAATGTTGCTTATTAGTCCAGTCGTGAAGATCTTTGTTTTCTTAATCTTGATTTCCTTATTGAAATCTGTAGTCTTTGATTTTCTACAGTAGGTGCTTCGGCTCTTCTTCACTTTAAGCAAGCAAGGTTGTGCCATCTGCATAATATGGCTGTTAGCTGTTCATGAGTTTTTCTCCATTCTGACACAGTGTTCTTTTTCACAGTCCAATTTATCAGATTATTTTCTCAGTCAATAAACAAATTGAACGCTGCCGTTGTGTACCACTGAGTCAACCCATAGCAGACCCTCCAGCGGGTTTTCAGAGACAGTTAATCACTCAAGAGGAGATTGCCCATCCTTCTCCCTCAGAGCAACTGGTGGCTTCGAACCATATGCCTTCAGGATTGTAGCACAGTTTCTTGCCACTAGGCCACCAGAGCTCCATAAAGGTATAATAAAAGGAGACAACACTGACACACATCTTTCCTGATTTTAAACCTTGCAGTATTTCCTGGTTCTCTTACAATGACTGCTTCTTGGTCTATGTACAGGTTCTGCATGAGCACCACTAATGGTTTATCCTTGTTGTTATTGTTAGGTGTTACCGAGTTGAATGTGACCTGCAGTAAACCTAGGACCAACAAATCTGAACCCTGCCCTATCTTGTACTACTCTCACAATCTACTTACTATCTGGGCTTTATCTCTAATAATACTATAATTATCCATGCTTCTCTACTGTTCATAAGGCTTTCAGAGCCCTGCTATTTAAGAAGTGGATGGCCAATCATGCTTCCTCATTTGTCTTAATTTGGGAGCTCTACTAAAACTTGTCCACCAGTGGTGACCCCTCTGGAATTCGACATACCGTGGATAGCACAGCTTTCAGTATCACAGCAACCTACAAGTTACCCTCGTACAGCAAACTGACAGACAAGGTTATCCTTTATGTCTGCCAAAGTAAATGTAGCTACTGGCAGCCCACAAGCGGAATAAAATTGATGAATGCTTTTCCTCCCCTCAGCTTGTTGTTGTTCTTGTTACATGCCATTGAGTCACTTGCAATTCATAGTGACCCTATGTACAAGAGCCCTAAATCCTGCTCTATCCTTTACCAGCCTCACTGTCTCTGACACACCTACTCTCATTACCCCAATTACTGAATTGATAATTTAAAAAAATTAAATTAATTGACTATTATAAAATCTAAACCCAAGCACTTTTATGTAAAAAATAAAGATTTCTGCTTTCTCTTGAGAAATCTGAAGCTCTCACCGCATTGAGTCCACATTCTCCATAATCACAGTGGGCTGGACCTGAACACTGGTGACTGCAGGGTCAGTAAAGGTGCAGGACTTTTGTCTTCCTGTTCTACACATCCCCACCTGACACACTTCAGTAACTTTTACTTGTGTGGTTTTTCTAGTCACTGAGCTCTGAATCTTATCACTAAAATAGTATTTAAAGTGGAGGGACAGGACCAACTCTCTTTCTGCTATAACTCCTTAATGTCACTCCTTGTATTAGTTTCCTTTTGCAGTTGTGAGGTGTCATCATGTTGAATCTGACTCATAGAGACCACTAGAGCTGGTAAAAGGAGCCTGGTGGTGCAATGGTTAAACACTGTGCTACTAACCAAAAGATAAGTGGTTCTAATCTATCAGCTAGCTTCTCTATGAAGGATAAGACCTGTAATATGCTCCAGTAAGATTACAGCCTAGGAAATCCTTTAGGGAAGGCTGAGTATGCAGCTCTAGACATGCTCATCAGGCTGTGTCAGGAAATTTGAAAGATAGCGACCTGGCTAACTGACTGCAAAAGATCCGTATTAGTTCCCATTCCCAAAAAATGTGGTTCAACAAAATGTGGAAGGTATCAAACATTATTATTATCTCATGCAAGTAAAATATTGCTAAGATTATTTCAAAATTAATAGAAGAGTACATGCACAGAGAACTGCCAGAAATTAAAGCTGCGTTCAGAAGAAGCTGTGAAACCAGAGATTTCACTGTTGATGTCAGTCAGATAGATCTTGCCTGAAAGTAAAAATACCAGCACAATGTCTATTTGTGTTTTACTGATTGTGCAAAGACATTTGACTGAATGGATCATAACAAATGATTGCTAACATTGAAAATAATGGAAAACCCAGAACAATTGATTGTGATGAGAAACTTATACTTAGGTCAAGAAGCTGTTGTCTGAATAGAGCAAGGAAACACCACATGGTTTAAAATCAAGAAAGCAGTCGGTCAGGGATGTATCGTTTCTCCATACATGTTCTATCTTTATGCTGAGTAAATAATTAAAGAAGCTAGGCTTTCTGAGGAAGAATGTGGCATCAGGATCAGAGGAGGACTCATTGACAACCTGTTTTACACAGATGATACAACCTTGCTTGTTGAAAGTGAAACGCCTTGTTGTTGAAACTCCTGCTACAGAAAATCAAAGACTTTAATATGGGTTACCTCTCAATATCAAGAAAATAAAAATCCTCACCATTGGGCCGATAGGCAAAAACATGAGAGGTAGAGAAAATATTGAGATGGTTAATTCTTTAATCTTACTTGGATCCAAAATCAGTAACCTTGGTGCCAGCAGCCAGGAACTCAAGACACATGATCCCTCCTTGTCTTTCTCAGCCTCTGGTAGACCCAAGTGTTGCTTGACATTCTTTGGCTGTAAATGCATCTTTACAAGGCCAACTTCATTCTGTATATCTCTTCGTGTCTCTTCTTTTTTTAAGGACACCACTATGATTGGGTTAGGATATACTCTGGCATAAAAGGCGTATAGTGGCATAATGCCCAACATATTGGGCTGCTAAACAAAATACATGATTCTAGAAAGGGTGGAGGACTGGTGAAGAAGAGGAAGACCCTCGACGTGGTAGATCAACACGGTGACTGCCGCTATGGACTCTTGTGTGTCAGGAAGTGTGAGGATGGTGCAGGATGGAACTGGGTTCAGATCTTATATTCATTGGGTCTCTATGAGTCGTACGCAACTTGCCGGCACCTGACAACAATAACAACAACCAAAAGATGGTGCTCTGGTGATCTAGTGTTAAAGAGCTATGCTGCCAGATCAACTGGAGGTGGTTCGAATCCACCTGCTGCTTTTCAGGGAAAAGATGGGCAATCTCCTCTCTTGCTATTTTCAGCTTCTGAAAATCCACTAAAGGGTCAACAATGAGTCAGTTCTGACTTGACAGCGCATCAAAACAATAGCTGAAAGGTCAACTGTTCAAATGCAAGTCATTCTGCAGGACAAAAATAAGCATCCTCCTCCCTGCAAGCTTTACAGCCTTGGAAATCTAATGGGAGGTACAACAATGAATGAATGAAAATCCAACTTTTCTGTTAACGTTTATTAAAATCACAATTTAAAAAAAGAAACCTAATGGAGAGTCAATACGAGTCAGAACTAACTCAAAGGGGGTGGATGGGCACTCAAGTATGACCTGATATTAGCTGATAACATCGTCAAAGACTATTTCCAAACAAGAGCATGCTTCCTAGTTCCAGGGATCAAGACATTACCTTTCTAGGGGACACAATTCCATGCATAACGCTCCCTAACTCTACTGCATTTGACATTGTTCCCAGAATAAGAGTCTAATCTTAACAAGTGCTTACCATAGTCATTTCCAGAAGCACCTGGCTCACGGTGGCCATATGAGTTAGCCATCTCCATGGATCTCAATTCAAAGCTTTCTGAGTAACCTCCATTGTCTCTCCCAGTGATGCTCAAAGGGCTCTCACTCCGGTGACGGACCAGAGGCTGGACCTGAGATGTTCTGCCGAGCTCCCTGAAATTCCAAAACCAGGGGTTATTATCCATCCAGTTATATGTTCATCCATTCATCCATGTACTCGTTCCAGAGTTGCTGGTCAACCATATGACAGGTACCTGAATGAGGGTGTGAGATAAAGACATTTGACCTCAAGGAGCTCCCATGCTTATCTAGGAGAGCTTCTGTGTCATGGTCATAAACACAACACTAATAAATACTGATGATTATCAAGAGGTAAGCTCACAAGTTTTAGAGGAAGAAGAAAAGAATTCTGGCTTGATCGTCAGATTAAATCTACACGGAAAGGCAGCATCTGAAACAGATTTAAATAATAGACAGAGACCTAAGAGTTAAGGGAAAGACATTCCAAGGATGAAGAACAAACATAAATAAAATATAAGTCTGGAAGGTACAGCATCTATAAAAGAAGTATAAAGAATATCCGCTTTTCTGGAGCAATGGTACTCCACTTTATTTTACAAAATACAATTCCCAAACTCTACCTCAGACAATTAAATCAGAATCTCTGAAGATTTGGTTTTGCATCTGTATTCTTTTTAAAACTCCCTCAGGACTCTGACAATTCTCAGGGTCAGCCAGGTTGAGACCAGTATATGGTTTAGTGAGAGAGGAACAGGAGACGAGGGGAGGTAAAGCCAGGCTCATCTTGGCCAGCACATTTCATTAGCATCATACATTCTCATTCATAAATATTCTTACATGTAAAGCAATGCGGACTTCCCCCAAATGTTATGGAGACCACGGAAGATGAGAAACAGGAAAGTAACAGAAGTAAAAGTAGATTTTGATTTTTTAAAATTTTATTTTATTGTGTGTGTGTGTGTGTACTGTCAAATAGGATCTGACTGGTACAAGAGGAGACTGCCTCCCTCCTTCTCAAGCAGAGCATCTGGTGGATTTGAACCACGTGCCTCTGGGACTGCAGTGCAGCTTCTTGCTACTAGCCCACCAGAGCTCCCTCAAAAGCATGTTTTGAAATGGTGACTAAGGCTGGGAAGGACAAAACCAATGAGGATGTTTTAATTTAGTCTTGTTAACCCAACATGCTCTACGTGCCAGCTTTATTCCATTTGCTCTAAAACCGTTCAGATATTTTGACCCTAATGGACACCCATATCCTTCTTCCTGGCAAGAAATAGAGTCATCAGTTATTGTAAAACTGAAAAAAATATAACTAGTAGAAACAGTAAATGTAAAATGAGACTCATATTGTTTAGAATTGTACCAGGTAAAATTTGTTACAGATTTTTTAAAAGGCAAAGGAGTTGCATATTGTTGGTAACGCTGAAAACACAGTTAACTAGAAAAAAAATTATATTAGTAGAATTAGCTATTCAAACTAATACAGTCAATGGCCAGAACTGTACCTGGTAAAATTCCAGACCACTGTCACTGACAAAGATTAGATGGAAGAATAAAATCCTTTTTACAGAATTAGATTTACAAGATCTGAGTCAGGGAAAATGGAATTCAAGAAAAAGAACAACTTTATTATTAAAAAATGGCCAATACCACCATCATTATGTAGAAAGAAAATGAAAGTTGCAAAAACCAACTGCAGCTCAATTGTTTGACACTAAAAAAGAATTAAGGAATTAAATGGACTTCATGAAATTGATCCTCAAAAGATTTTTTGGGTAAAGGTTCATTTAACAGTGATGCAATTCTCGCTAAAATGTTTGGGTTCAAGGGAGCTCTGGTGGCCTATTTCACAGTACACACACAAAAAATAATAACAACAAAAAAAAGTTTGGGTTCCTGTTACATCTGAACTCCAAATTCACTGTTCAAGTAGCAGGGTCTCTAAACAGTGGGCTTGTTGGTGTCTTATATGGGTTGGGATAGGAAGAAACGAGAGACTGGTCATGACCTTTGTGTGGCACAGATGGGTAAGTGCTTGGTTGCTCCCTGAAAGTTTGGTGTTTGGAATTTACCTACAAGTACTTCAGAAAAAAGGTCTGGCTATCTACTTCCCCAAAAGTAGTCACAGAAAAGCCTGTGAACTCAGTTCTACTCTGACTCATGAGGTGCCATCTACTCAATGCCAACTGGTTTGGCGTGGGAGACTGGTAGGGAGGTCATGCAAGCAAGAAGTACTGAAGAATTAAATCTTTCATGTGAATATAGCAGACTGGGCTGAAGGTTCAAGACCCAAGTGAGAGCTACAGGTGGATAAGAAAGTTTTATCACAACTTTAGGACACAGAAACCATCACACCATTCTCATTGTACCCCAACCTCAAATCAAATCAACCAAGTCCCATTTGGTTGAAGATTCTTGTACTTACCCCCTGGTCATTTCTGGGACATTAGGAGATCCATAATCATGTCTGTCCTCAGCGTCTGGGTAATCAGGCTCCCCCCAAAAGTTGGGAGAGTTCCTATAATCCTCAGCAACAGGATAATCTGGTTCCCCCCAGATGTCTGCAGGATTAGCTTTCCTCACAGCTCCTGGATAATCAGGCTCTTCTAGCGGGTGTGCGTATGGACTGGCCCTGGTACTGGCACGTTCTGGATTCCTTCTGGAACCTGGATAGTTGGAATTGGCTCGGAAGTCAAGATAGTTAGAGGTGTTCTGAAATCCAGGATAGTCTGGTTCTTCCAGGGATCCAAAATAACCTGGATTTGTTCTGGAACCTCCATGGTTTCCACTGCCTCTGGAACCTGTAAAACCAGCCTGTTGTTGAGATCCAGGATAATCCGGCTCTCCGGATGAGCCTGGCGGGTATGGATTGCTCCAAGAGTCATTATAATCTGGCTTTGCTAGTGATTCTGGATAGTCCGGATTTCTCCTGGACCCCGAAGCACGTGAATTTCTCCTGGTGCTGCGATAGTCTGAATTACTCTGAGAGCCAGGATAATCTGGTTGTGCCAGAGATCTGGAATAATCTTGATTTGTTCTAGAGTCTTCAGATGTTGGATTTCTCCTGGAGCTGGAATAGTCTGGGTTATTCTGAAATTCAGGGTAATCTGGTTCTGCCAGCGGCCCAGGATAGCCTGTATTTGCTCTGTAGCTTGAAGCATATTGATCGCTCCTGGCTCTGGGATAACCTGAAGAATCTGGATAATCTTGATTTTTCAAATACCCCTGTGTTTGGTTGTGAGCCCATGAGTGCTCAGGGTAATCTGGACCTTCCTCATACCCATTATTCCTGTAGTAGGCAGACATGATGCGACGGATTTTTCACCCTGGAGAGCTCAACTATCCCTGCATTGGCAGCAGCTTAGGGATGATCCTCTTTTACCTGAAAAACAAAAATTGAAGGGAAAAGTCAGGTTTTTTCATTTCTCCCCTGCAGGGACTGCTCACCATCCTCCACATCTATTCTCCTTTCTTTCTCCATAAAGAAAGAACTGCCCCAAACAAAGACCATTCCTTCCACCCTCCTTTCTGTGACCATGTGCCTGGCCAATGGCACATGAGCAGAATCATCTACCAGACTGAGACTGTAAAAGGAAGGAGCGTGTCTTCTCTTTCTTGGTCGTCTTACATCCCATGAGCTACAATGTGAAAACAATAATGTGCCATGTTGAGGCAGATGTTAAAGACAGTGCTCCAGGGAGAGCAGCACAAGATGAAATGAGTCTGGTTTTCTCGAATCTTCTCAGAGTAGAGCTGTTTTACCAGCTCAGACTTACATGGCATCTAACAACAGCAACAACAACAACTTCTTCTTTTATCCTTTTCCTATTCTTAGTCCAAGTGGTTTAAAAAAGGACTGATTGCCTCCTTGATCCCAAGGACGGTCACATGGCACAGGCCTGACCAATCCCCTGGTCACAGATTTTGGTCAAGGAATGGACATATGACCCATTCAGCATTCCGAGATTCTAAGTAGACATTGGGAAAGATGTGCTCCTATTTTATTAGAATTACTAAGGGAAACAAAAGTAAACCTGGAACTGCTGGTGTGATATCAGTGGAAATAAAGAAGAGACTAATGAGAGAGAAAATCTGAAACACGAATAGAATTTGTTAATTAACCCAGTAAGAGAAGCGTGAGAGGTTATAGGAAATATAACACAACAGCATCTCTACTGTTTCAAGACAGTATGAGTAGCAGAATAGTGGTGCTTTTGTAAGAGGGAAGTGGAACATTTTCAAAGTTCAGCCAACTTTTACAAGTTTATCGCTAAGGTAAGTGAACAAGGGCCAGCGTCATTGAATAATCAGTGCTAAAGTCAATGATTAACCTTCTGCTATTACCTATCTTCTTAGAATATTAATTTATTTGCCAATAAATTCCCTCTTTCTTTTT